TTATAGGTGTTTAAAACCTTTTTTGCTTTCCTGACAACATGTTTATGTATTAGTTAAATTTTTGTATTGTAATACTAAAGTTTACTCTTTTCCATTCAAAACTGCTGTTGTCGAAATAAAAATCATCATCATCATCAATAAATGAAAATATTTTTGTTTATTTTCATGTTGTTCAATTAAATTATCTGTTAATTCTAAAGCTGATTTATGGTTTTCTTCAATTTCTTTACGATGTTCTTCGATTGATTTATAAAATAATTTTTTGAGATCATTTAATGTATCTGTTAAATCAATATTATAATCAAAATCAGCAATAACTGACCAAAAATCAAAACAACATAATTATCAGTTTTTAAATAAAAAATTTCTTCATTCAAGATTTTCATACTTTTACATTCTATCATCGATTGAATAAAACTTTTGATATTCTTATTTTCAATAGTATCTGTGAGAATATTTTTACTTATTTCATCATCGAGAAATTTTGAACAAATTCTTTTCAAATCTTTTTTAACATCATAAGTTGTTAATAAAATAGTTAAAAACATGAAATGATTGATATGTTTTATCGTGGTATAAGAATTCAAATCTTTCATCAAAAGTATTGGTATTTCATTATTTTTACGAGTAAATTCATTCGAATTCGCTGTTCCATTCATATGAAAGCATTTGAAAGCACAAGTGCCGGTAAGGCCATTTTTTGCCCAAAATATTTTTAAAAAGAATTACACATTGTGAATCAGCATTAAATTCTGAGTAAAATGAGGTATTTTTTTCTGTTGAAAAACGACTTTCATTTTCCACCTTTGTTTTTGCACCTGACCTCAGGACCATCAAAAAACGTTTTTTTCAAATTCTGTCGAATTATACATCACCAGATGGAGAATTTGATGGTGATGCCAAATATCATGTTAAAAACCGAATACAATGAAGTTTTGATCGAGAAAAACCTATTTTATTGCAAGGTGCTAACAGAGGACCATTTCCGGTTCTTGTTATCAGATGACCTAGCAACGTCATTGAGGAGTGCAAAATATACAAAACATGTACAGAATTACATTTCCAATCAGGATCATGCAAAAATGCGATTGAAAGCCGAGTTTTGAATAGTTTTAGGGTCAAATACCCCCAAACCAGCGAAAAACCGGTTTTTGCTGTTTTTTTGAGTATTTGACCATGTTTCACATTATTCTCCCTCTTTTTAAAGTCATATTCGGATAGAGCATGTAAAACTGCATCGATTCATATATATCCCTCATCGGTTTAAGATTTCATTAACCTATAATATTAGGTCAAAAGGTTACAAAAACCTTTTTTTGCTGGTTTTTTTAATATTTGATCTCAAAACTATTCAAAAGTTGGCTTTGAATCGCTTTTTCTACATGCGTCTAATTGAAAAGCAAACTGGCACACGACTGCATGCATTTTAGACTTTATAATGTCGTTGTTAGGTACCCTAACGTCGGCAACCGGGAGCAGCCTTCTATTAGCATGCTACAGTAATATTGTTTTTTCTCGATGAAAACTTCATGCTTTTCGAATTTTGACCCGGAATTTAGAATCAGCATCCAATTCCGCATCTGCTGATGTAAAAAAAATTTTTTCAATGGTCCTGGGGACCCCTACAGGTGCAAAACTACAGGTAAAAAATGAAAGTCGTTTTTTCGACAGAAAAAAATACCTCATTTTACTCAGAATTTAATGCTGATTACGAATATGTAATTTTTTTTCGAAAATATTTTGGGCAAAAAAATGGTCTTACCGCCACTTGTCCTTTGTTCCAAATTTCGTATTAAAAGATTCCATAAATTCTCTTTCGTTGATTGGTTGATTTCGAAAATCATGATATTTTTTGTGTTAAATTATTCTTGTGATTTTTTAAATATTCTTCAATACCATCTTCAATTAAATAATAAAATAAACAATTTAATTGTGGCATTTGCTGATGTTTCTTTGAATAGATCAAATCCAAGTGTCAAATATGAAATTGATTCGAAATGAAATTTTCTTATTAAATTAAATATTTGCAATGGATTCATTTGATTTTTATTCAAAAATGTTAATTCATTTGTTTGAATATTTTCCAATTTTAATAAATTTATTTTGGACTTTTCCATTTTTTCAAAAATTTTCTAATTGATCTTTTCCATATATTTTTGACTTGCCAAATTAATATAATGAATTGTTATTTGTAAATCACCTTTTAATTTATATAAATATCATCAGAACAATATTTTGAATCAATAAGAATTTCAAATAGATCTTTAATTGATGTAACTGGTTTTATTAATTCTTTGAAAATTTTATGTAGATGATACATTTTTTCACAATCATTTGATTCATAGAATTTTAATAATTTTTGATATTGTGCTTGGAAAAAAAATGAATTGATTTTTAATGCCCGATCAGATGATTCTATGGAAGAATTATCATTGTTTAAAAATGCTCGTTTAAATAAATTGATGACATATTTCTCATCATATTGTATATTTGTTTCATATTTTGTTTTTTCATCATATTGAATAAAATCATTTTTTGATAGATTAAAACAATTGAATCTTTCGAAACAAGAAAAATCATATTTATTTGCCATATCAAGAGAAATCAATGCCCGAAATTGAATTTTATTTCTTAATTGATTTTCTGTTTTGAATTTTTTATCTTGACTATTTGGGTGAAAATGAATAATCTTTTTATCAATTGTAATAGATTTATTTAATAATTCAAAAGATTCTTTTAAATAAAGTTTTAAACTTGGTTGTTTCTTCTTTGTTGTTTACTTTGTTCAAATAACTTTTCACTTTCTTGAAATAAATCGTCAATATTTACCACCTCATCATCGTAATGTGAATGTTCATTTGAATTTGTTCTATCTCGTTAATCACGTATGAATTTCTCAGTCCAAGTCTTTCCTCTTAACTCTTGAATAAAAATATTTTTCATAATTTTTAGAGGAAATCGAATAAAAAATTTCTCATACAAATTGATCGATTAATATTAATTGTTTTTCATCCATATATAGATTATAATATTTATCGTTGAATACACAATCAATGAATGTTTCTGATCTTGGAATATAATCTTTCGATTCGTTAAGTACTGTTTGTATGAAATATTTGTGAAATTGAATTAAAAATACATGAAAATAATCCCAAGGAGAAAAAAAATATCGACTATCGGGCGATCTAGCTAGCTAACTCAATATACTACCCGATATACCTAGCTAGCAATTCGAATTGGGTTATTTACTATCGGGCGATATAGCTAGCTAACAC